TACACTGTGAGCTGAGCGGTTGGAGCCACTGTGATGTTCCTTTTTCTGTGATCTTTTAGTGAATACAGCTGTTACCCAGCGTTCACTCATACTGCCCTCTAGTGGTTCAACACTGCTCTGCTTGTCATTTCTCTAAAGCTTCATACTGTAAACACACAGCTGTGAATAAATGTTTACATACTGAAAAAAACAGTCAGACTGTTAAACATGAATAGAACACACTACAATAACACACTGTTCTCTTTCAGTCTCTAATTTTGACCCTAACTGTGTTGTTGTAACTCGTTTACTGACCTACTGACAGGTTTGAATCCAGTAAGTTCTGAGCTGCACTAATGCAGTGTGTGTCTGTGTGAGTGTGTGTGTGTGTGTGTGTGTGTGTGCATGTGTGTGTGTGTGTGTGTTTGTGTGCGTGTGTTTGTGTGTGTCTGTCTGTCTGGGGGTGTCTCTGTGTGTGTGTGTCTGTGTGTGTGTGAATGTGTGTGTGTGTGTGTGTGTGTGTGTGTGAGTGTGTGTGTGTGTGTGAGTGTGTGTGAGTGTGTGTGTGTGTGTGTGTGTGTGTGTGAGTGTGTGTGTGTATGTGTGTGTGTGTGTGAGTGTGTGTGTGTATGTGTGTATGTGTGTGTTTGCTCATGTCGAAAATGAGGTGTTAAATGCACTCAGTTCATGTTTAAACAGGACAGAGGGCAGTGTTGGTCAGAGAAGTGGGGGTTTATTAGTGAACGCTGTGGTTAACAGGATCAGTCTGGTAGTTTATTACTGCTGTGTGTTTGGATTATTGTGGTTATTATGATCTTCCTGCTCTGTGGTTAAAGCTCTGTTTATTGTGGACGGTCAGACAGACTTAATGATCTAATTTCTGTAGATTTGATGCGTTTAGTATTATCTGTTGAGCTGATTGTTGTTGAACAGGCTGGTTGTGTCACTGACGATTTCAGTTCCCTGCAGATTCACCACATTCAACACATCTCCTCTCAGCTCACTTCTCATCTCCTTCAGAGTCACTAGGATGTTCTTCCAGGTTCTACACAGTCACTGAAACGGTGTGTAACCTGTTGTCTATGGTTTGTAGTTCAGCTCATCAGGTTAATGAACAGCTGAAAGACACTGAGGAAATAAACCAACAACGATGGAAACATTAAATGACTGAAAGGTGAAACAACAAATGAAAGTCCTTCATTCTCTGAATATTATAGACAATATTTCAGTTCAGTTCAGCCACAAGAAGGAGTAATTTTACAGGTCTACAGTGAGATCCTCACAGTAAGAGGAGAGGACCAGCACACAAATCTCTAAATGTCTGTACAGGATCAATGAAATAAGAAATTAATTAAAGATATGGATTAATATTTAGGCTAAATTAATAACATAAAAAGCATCCCATATCACATCATTGTTTTTGTATTTCATGTTATTTTTAATCACCACATTAGAGGATCATGAGTTATTTGTGTATGAATGTGTTTATTTCCGTCTGGAATAGTTCTCTATGTGGATATGTATGAGTCCGTCCCCCTCGAGTTAGTTTATTGCTGGTCTCACTTTCCAGTTAGTGGGTTATAAAAGGCTTTTCTAGATGGACCAACAGATGGACCACCGCTATGCCAACCTCCACAGATCTGAGAAGAAGACACTGAAGAAGAGACAGGGGGCTCCAAAGACCACCAACTCTTTATAACCAGAGAAAAAAAACCTGATGGTGACAGTTCCTGTTACAGGTGGTTCATCTCAGGTCAGTTCAGTCCAGCTTGTGCCGTACTGAAGCTCCTGCTGAACCTCATACAGAACAACCTATTCTGGACTCATGTAGTAGTTTTAGTAACTCAGAACAATAAAGTAACTGTACATTAAATTCACTGCTGGCTAAACCAGGCTATCATTGTAACAGATTCATATAGTACCGCTAATACATAATAATAATAATAATCTTTATTGCTAACAACTTCTTATCTTACTTAGTATTAAATTGATAAATAAAAATAAAATTGATATGTTGTCTTTGCACTATTTTCAGGTTTTAAATGATTTGCACATCATTGCATTTTGTTTTTATTTACATTTTTAACAGCGTCCCAACTTTTTTGGAAATGGGGTTGTATTTAAAAGAGTCAAATCAAATCAAAATCATGCTGAAGATCAACAGCTGCCAGAAAGAGTGACTTAACTTAGCACAGGAATATAACAGGCTGCAGGTGCCTTGGCCCCCAGCTTGTTTTGAAAGATTTCAAGAATTTTATCACAACAATCCTGTGTGCTTCCTGATAAGATGACAGATGTGTATCCTACAGCTATTGTGTCATGGCTGAAGTGCTCTGTCAGGGGGAGAGCATGGCTGGGGTGGTTGAGCTGGAGGGCCGTGTTTAGGAGGTGGAGAAACTGTTGCTGTTTCTTAGATGAAAGCTTGAGCTTGAATTTAAAACAGGAACACTGGACTGACAGGTTTGTGAGTACATACACATGAAGAATGCAGGAACTCTCAGTGAGGCAGAACAATAGGAAAAGAAAGGAGTGTTTATGAACTCTGATGGCTGTCACACACGCACATTCCACTTCTATTCCTTTGTCACATGTCTACCGAAGGAAATGACCTGTGGAATCATGTCTGAACTGGGCTTTAACCAGGTTATTAATATGCAGAAATGCAGCTATATTCACTGATAATACAGGCAATAATTAAATCTGCTGGATGTAAATATTCATAAAGTAAACTTGGTCTCTAAACGTGCACAAGAACATTTACATATCGCTGCTGTTGGAACAAAACATAGTTTCTCCAAGCAGGTAACTTTACAGGACAAATGAAAATGTTCTTAACTTTTAATGGAACTAAATACAAAAATATTTTTTCCAAGTAATTTTGCACCATTCTTTATGAAAATTTGACTCAACGTAAAGGGCAACTGCATTATTCAAATTATGTCAAAAATGAAAAATCATAATAATGCAGATACACAGTTTTGTCCTGACAGCAGTGATATTTATATAGATTATGGAGAAAGTTTATTTTTAGTGTCTTTTTAGTCTTTCTAGACATTTTATAGCCTTTTTAGATTAAATAAACACTGAACAGACTCTCACTAAAATATTAACAACATATCAATGATGTAGCAGCAGTGAATACATTCAGTAGATTATCAACAGACTTGAACTGTGTAAAAAAAGGTTTATAATTTGCTGAATTCAGTTGTTTTTCCACTTTATTTGGAGTTCAGATCTGTAGACGTTTAACTGAGAGGAACTGAACATTAACAGGTTTAATACAGACCATCAACATCCTCAACCAGCTGATACAGACACACTGACACCATCCTGGACCTGGATTAGGGTCAGAGTGAGGGTTGGGATTAGGTTTTGGGTTGAGGTTAAGTTTAGGATTAAGATTAGGACCAGAGTGAGGGTTAGGATTAGGTTTTGGGTTGAAGTTAAGGTTAGAGTTAGGATTAGGGCCAGGGTGAGGGTTAGGATTAGGTTCTGGGTTGAGGTTAAGGTTAGGATTAAGATTAGGGCCAGGGTGAGGGTTAGGATTAGGGTTTTGAGTTGAGGTTAAGGTTAGGATTAAGATTAGGGCCAGGGTGAGGGTTAGGATTAGGGTTTTGAGTTGAGGTTAAGGTTAGGATTAAGATTAGGGCCAGGGTGAGGGATAGGATTAGGTTCTGGGTTGAGGTTAAGGTTAGGATTAAGATTAGGGCCAGGGTGAGGGTTAGGATTAGGGTTTTGAGTTGAGGTTAAGGTTAGGATTAAGATTAGGGCCAGGGTGAGGGATAGGATTAGGTTCTGGGTTGAGGTTAAGGTTAGGATTAAGATTAGGGCCAGGGTGAGGGTTAGGATTAGGTTTTGGGTTATGGCTAAAGTTAGGGTTAGGATTAAGGCCAGGGTGAGGGTTGCGTAAGGTTAGTTTTTGGAAGTAACATTTTAACCACACATCTACTTAATGTAAGTAATGTATCAACAGAACATCTTTAAGATATTTATCTCAACGTATTCAGAGCTGCTCTCAAAGTTTAATCAGAGTTTTCACAGCTTTTTAATTATCAGATAAACTAATACATTCCAGATAGTGTTCAAATTCCTTAAGAGACACTCTGCATGAGAACTCAGAGTTTAAATGTTTTGATTTATGAAGATGAATTTTAGCTGGTACTACTGGCACTCTGGGCCCAAATCTTATAGTAATAATAATGCTTTGGTTTATTCGCATGCATGTAATACAGAGCCATGTAACATTCAGACTCTGCATGTGCAGCACCCAGTGTATCAGTCACACTCGTCAGTTTTAAATAAGTTAATTGGCTCATCACCATCTCAGTCAGCATCACACAACGACTTAATACAGAATGCTTTTTACTGCAGGACACGAACAGAGGAGATGCTGTACAGTTTATCAGAGCCTCATTCACACAAAGCAATGTGACAGCACTGCAGTTTCTCTCCAACCAGCTGCACCAGCTGAGATATAGATAGATAGATAGATAGATAGATAGATAGATAGATAGATAGATAGAACTTTATAGATCCTGAAGAGAAATTGCAGTGTTACAGTAGCAAGAAATATAATTGCACATAAACTTACATATATTAGGCTGAACTAGAAATAGAATTAAAAATAGACACAAATTAGGCAGAAACAAAAAATAGACATAAGTTAAAGTGTAACAGAGTAGCAATAAATTTACAGATTTGTCATATTTACATGAGAGCAGGTATGAGGTAGTTACAACACAGTGAGTATAAGCATAACTATAGCAGTGTTTACAGTCTGACGTGTCAGTACAGTAGCAGTTATGATATATTGCAGTGTGTATTAACAAGAAAGGTGATACAGTGATGTAAATTCAGCTCAGTTCAGACAGCAGATGATAACAGAGCTTAATCCTCATTCAGTGTGGCTAGAAGCTCTGTAAACTGTCTGGTTTGAAGGCTCTCTTCTAGCTCCTCCCCCCAAATGCAGTCGACTGCCAAGGCACAGTTTGTCTTGAACTTATTTGCCCCGCGCATTCAGTCGCTGAGCAGTTCAGCTGTGTGACAGTCTGCTTTATTTCAGCTTCAGTTACTGAACCATAATATGGTACATATAATTAAAGTTAGTTGGGTTGTTTTGCTCTACGCAGCCTGTCCACTGACCAACTGCCAGTTTAGTTCATAGTTCAGGTTCAGTACAGCTGGTTTAGTTCAGATTCAGTTCCAGATTCAGAGCTGTGATATGGTTGAGACAGAGAAGTTTCCAGCATCGCTTTACTGCCTCCTGCTTCTGCTCTCTGGAGTCTCCTCTTACAGTAAGTCTTGAACATCTTAAAACTAGACTTCTCACAGTCAACTACAGATAAACAACAAGAAATGTAACACTGTTTTTCTGCGCAAACTTGTTTTTGCAGTATTTATTTTACAATTTTGCCATAGTTTTCACCAAACATTATTCAAATTCAAAAGATAATTAGGAAATGCTATTTCTGTGGTGTTGCTTTTGCCATATAAATGCACAAAAGTAGTTCACAAAAATATTTAATGCAGACGAGACATGACTATAGTGGGTTAAGGCTGAGCTGATATCACCTGAAATTAAGAAACAAGCTGAGTTGGACAGGTCTGTGTATCCATTCGAGGGTCCTTACTGTTCAACCTTTATAAGCTACCACTGGGCCAAATCCTTAAAATACAATCAATTATCTTACTATAGCTACACAGACGCCCAGATCTGCGTACCTCTCTCGTCTGATGACTACAGTCCCATTGACCTTATGTGATTGTCTTGAGTCAATAAATGACCCGATGAAAGAAAGCTTTCTCCAACTAAATAAATAAAGATAGAGATTGTATTTGGTAGTAAGAAGACTGGAGGTCAACACTTCTTTACTCCAGAGCTCTGAAATCCTGGCATAACAATCGACTGAGGTCTGAATTTCAGCAGCCATGTTAAAGCATTGCACTGCTGTGGGAGCTCCGGAGGCACAGCCATGCAAAGTCACCAAACAAAAAGGCTCTTGGGAGATTACACACTACGCTCATGGTAGTTGTTGTTGTCAGCTTAACACATGCAGCAGTGTCAGTGTGCTATTCTGTGTTGGGCTGTAGGATGGTTGGTGTTGGGGTGGGGTCTACCATTGAGTAGAACTGTATGGCTAGAAGTGACCTTCCCTGCTATCCCAGCTGCTTGGTTCTTCACTTGCTGCCTGTTCAATAAAAGAGCATTTGCCTTTGAAGCACAATGTTTCCTGCATTTTCTTCTTTATGGATGCCACAATACCCTGTCGATCTTTAGTATACAAACACAACAGGCCTCTCCGATCACTCGGGAGTTAGCAGAGCCCAGAATCGAAACCAAACAGGGTGAGGCAGCATTCAGTCATTATGCTGCCACTGCTGGAACAAACACTCAGATAATGCCAGATATGTGGCCGTCTTTAAGTCCAGTTTCAAAATGTTCTTGATTTTTTTGTGTCTTTGTTTAGCACTGCACTTTATCTTAGCGCTACAGTATTTAACTTCTTTTAATCCTTTAATCCTTTTTTATTGTATTTAATCTTTATCTTTTATTTTTTGTAACTATTTCTGCAATTGCCTTTCTGAGGTACTAGATCTCAGGACGCCATAGGCTTTATCATTCAATGCGTTTATTTTTCTGTGTTTGTGTGAAGCACATTGAATTGCTGCTGTGTAAGAAAGATGTTATACAAATAAACCTGCCTTGTTTTACTTTGAAAGACGATTTACAATACTAATTCCATCAAAAAATGAATTTCAGTAACATGATTTCAACAATATGTCTCTGTTTTACTGTATTAGTTCTCCTGGTAACTGTCATGTCCATGTCATTACACTGAGACTGCAGAGGGAACTGATTTACCTCGTCTCTCCAAAGTGTTTTAAGCTGAGTTGGACTAAATGTACTACAAGAACGTTAGTGTTGCGTCTCTGTTTTTCCATGTCACTCATAAAGTTTCAGACATGGAACCTGTTACTACACACACAGAACGGTGTGGAGTGGACAACCTTAGAAGACTGGTTTTGGGTGGGGCTGCGTGTTTGCATACGTGTGTTTGTTCTGTAAATATGTGCATTTTAGCATGTTATCTCTGTTGTATGGTATAAGAGCTGTAAAGTATGTAACACTTTATTTCATTGTATGATGGCTGTGTTATACTGCAGCCTGCTGTGTTGTATTCAGTTGTTTGACCTCTTAAGGGATCTGCAGGCCTACATGATGGCTGTGTTTGATAGATTGGCTGTTTTGAGTGTGTTTATCTTGTGAGGAATGTAAGAATGAGCATAAGAGAATGTTTCTGTCTGATTACGTTGGTATGTGTGCTGTATCAGTACGATGGTGTCAGTGTAGAAGCGAACTACACAACAGATCTGTAGGTACTCATGTCATCATTAGAAATGCTCAGTGTTTCCCAGAGCTTGAAAGCAGTCTCAACATTTATATCCACCCTCCTCCTGAGTGTAATTTGAAGTTTTTTTATGGACATTTTTATTCCAAAAGTGCAGTGAACATTTTTGGCATCTTGGTTTTAATAACAAATCTGTGTTCTTTAGTGGTGGACATTTTAAAGTAATTGTGCCTCCTTCCCCCTTGATGTCACTGTTAATTTTATCCTCTCTTTTTGTGCTGCAACAGTTTCATGTCTTGAAATTGCTTAGTGCTTAAAAGCATTAAATGCATTGGATATTTGTCAGTATATATCAAGATATAGGATGAGTCCAATAATTATGTGCCTGACATATTCTCTCTCTCTGTCCTGCAGCTGAGTTCGAGATCTCAGTGCCCAGCGGTGGTCAGGTCGGGGTTTATGGGCAGTCCGTGGTTCTGTCCTGCAGCTTTCCCACCGGAGGCTCCTGGGATGTGAGCAGCAGCGTGTTCATGTGGCAGCGTGGCCTGGAGGTGGTCCACAGCTTCTACCACAGCCATGACCAGCTGGACCAACAGCATCATCACTATGCCAACCGTACCAGACTGTACCACCAGGAGATGGCGAAGGGAAATGCATCACTCAGGCTGGACCGGGTCACCCTGGAGGATGATGGAATATACACCTGTTCGGTCAGCACACAGATCGGCAGCCAGAACAAAAGCTTCAGTCTGAAAGTAGCAGGTAAGGATGCTTTACAGTAGGGAAGATATACACTGTCCACTTTACTGGAGACCACCAATGGTTCACATAACGTACAGTACCCCAGTACTCTTCTGGGAAGGCTTTACACTAGATGTTGAACATTGCTGTGAGGATTTGATTGAGCATTAGTGAGGTCAGGTACTGATGTTGGATGGTCAGTTCTGGGTCACTCCAACTCCTCCCAAAGGTATTGGATGGAGCTCCATCAGTCCATTGCTGGGGTGCTTTATACCCCTCTAGCCCACACTTGGCATTGGGCATGGAGACCTTAGGCTCATGTGGAAGTGGAAGTGAAAATATCGGCTTATTATTCATTTACAAGGGTTTTTATATGGAGTATTACCAGGTGTTTTAATATTAGGTTCTTTTCTATAGCCTTCTACCCGGAGCCTCATCTGCACATCAACCTGTTGAGCAATGGGCAGGTGGACCTCCTGCTGACATCACAGGGAGGTTACCCCTCCCCATTGCTGCAATGGCTGATGGGAAACATGGAGGACATCACAGAAGAAACGCAAACACAGCTGGAGCAGGACCAACACACCAGGCTCTACAGCGTCAAGAGTAAGCTAAACCTCAAACGGGGCAGCAACTCCTCCATCACCTTCATCCTGAAGAACCAAGATCTGGGGCAGGAGATCAGACGGAACATCGACCTGTTCTTAGGTGAGATTAAAAATCCTCTTTGGTTAAGTTCCAAATATACACCTTTAAAAATATACAGGCCAAAAACAGCTCCGTGGAGTGATGCTGTAGAACCACAGATGGTTATTTAAAAACAACATATTTGAGTGTGACTGTGAAGAACCTTTTTAAAGTTAAGAACATCTGCACAGTGTAAAGGTTCTATACAGGTTAAAGGTTTAAAATGAGGGCTCTGAGTAATGCCATAGAAGAACCACTTTTAGTTCCCCTAAGAACCATATTTGTGAGATGTGTGTGTGCATGTGTAAGAGGAACCTTCACATAATAAAAAGGTTCTATACCAATCTAGGGTTTTTTCATTAAACTGCCACTGAAAAGCTTTTTTAGACAAACAAAGTGGTTCTCCTGTAGCACCTTTATTTAAGCCAAGAACCATTTAGGAACATAGAAACAGATAAAAGGAACAGGAAAGAGGAAAATAAAAATAGATAAACACTCACTGTTTCCTGGAGTTACAGTTACGGTACTCACAGACATTCAGTTAGATAATGAATCTTTAAATGATTTATCGTATGTATCAGGAACTCTCACATTTCACCACAGTTTGATTCAGCAGACGTTCGGTTCTAGGTAACCATCAGGTGTAGAGTCCCTGTATTTCTTGAGACTTTAAAAAGGTCACACTCACATGTGGTTCTTTAAAGAACGCTTCTCTTCTTTTGGGAAGCATAAAGAGGATCTTCTATAGAGGAGGTCTACAGATCCGCTCTCCGGTCCTGGATTTTGTAATAACTGTTAGTAACTGTTGATGTAACTGATTGGCCACTTAGTGTCAAAACTACCAGTTATTACAAAACCCAGGACTGGAAACTGGATTCAGGGTCCAGATTTGAAGGCCTCTGCTCTACAGCGTCGCTCCAGAGCACTTTTTTTTCATCTTAATGTTTAGGAGTATGTGGTGCCAATAATGTCAGCACGGCTTATATGTTTCTTATATTTCCATTTCTAGAAGACGGAGCTGGTGGTCCACTATCAGGAGACAGGGGACATTATGTTCTCCTTGGAGCTCTGATCACTCTCCTCACAGCCGGCCTAGCAGTGTTAATTATCTTTTTCCTCAGACGACGGACACAGAAAAGCACAACAAAAACATTATTCAGAGCCGTCACCTCCGCTGACGAAGAGCAATCTATAAACCACCAAAATGGAAAACCACCGCATTGAGTTTGTTATTTTCTCGCCTTGGATGAAGAGACTGTATCACTGCAGTGTCATCACTGCTGACCAACGATGGACGTTTTGAGTGGAGATGGTGATCGGTCACTTGCACAGTCTGAAAGAAGCCATGCATCAAGTCCATTTTATACCGCACTGCTAACAGTCCTGGGTTACACATTTCATGTCTTTTTTGGTGTTTTCTGTGAGTGACATGCCAGAGATTTCCATCTAGAAGCGCTTTATAAAACCATCCTTCAGGGCTCCGTTGCTCAGTCAAGGTCCGTCAGTCCTGAACACCTTGTTTTCCTGCTGCAGCTGATGTAAGCTAGTCTAGTGCTCGTCAGTCTTTAGAGGAGTCAAACATTTGTTCAGAGCAGCAGTAAGATTTGATTGGCAGCTAAAGGATTTTCATTTGCTGCTCAAAGTGGAAGTTAATGACACATCAGTGCAGCCTGTATTAAAGTGTAAAATGATGCACATTTATGAGATTTCAGCAGAGAAAAGCGAAAGATGTTGTGTTTCCATCCACTACAGTAATGTGAAGAAACTTCAGATGGCGCCGGTGATTAGGAGCTGCGCTGAAACAAACAGGATGGAGAGATTTAACTTTGTTTCTGCTTCAGTAGAATCACCTTTACAGCCATTTGCCTTTTTATATTATATTTGATTTTTTTTGGATGTGTTACAATGACCCACTAATGAGGGCTGAAATCTCCCACCATTAAGTTGTCGAAAGTGACATTTGAAAAGCTCTGCGCTACAATCAGTCCGTCTGATTCAATATGAATAGGTTATTACAAAACCTATTCATATTGAATTATTCCAGTCTGTTGTTATCGCTGGCGATAGCTGATTTCTGAGGGTAAGAAAGCCTTTTTTCAGTGTTGCATTAATATAAACTGTTCAGTTACAGCAGATTTTACCTCCACTGTGTTTAAGGAGTGTCAGTTACATCCTGCCCTGATGTCCAAACCGTGTGAAATAGAAAGTGAGAGGGACGATCACTAAAGCTGCATCAGAGTGAAAGTCTAATAGACTTAGACTTAGACAGACTTTATTGTCACTCAAATTTACACCGTACAGTGCACATTAGAATGAAACTATGTTGCATAGGCTCAGAGTAGATCAGAAGAATTATAAATAATACAATGTAGTGCAATGTAGTGCAGAGTGTGGTGCATATGTAAACATATTTATGTCAACAGATAACTAAATTTTAAATAAGTATATATACAAGAGGGTGTATTGCACTGTAGCTCCCAGGTATGGAGTAATCAAAAAAGAATTGAAGCAGCATTTATTTAGAGTTCAGCAGTCTTATTGCATGTGGGAAGAAGCTGTTTTTGAACCTGGCTGTTCTGCTTCGAAGACTTCAGAACCTCTTTCCAGAGGCTAACAGCGAGAACAGTCCATGGTGGGGGTGGGAGGGGTCTCTGTTTATGATCTGAGCTCTGGTCAGACAGCGACTTGTTGCAATGTCCTGTATGGTAGGAAAGTGAAGTCCCAATAATTCTCTCTGCTGTCCTTACCACCCTCTGCAGAGACTTCCAGTCAGAGGTGCTGCAGGCTCCTGCCCAGACAGTGATGCAACTGGTCAGTATGCTCTCTACAGTGCCTCTGTAGAAGGTGGTGAGAATCGGAGGGGGGAGGTGTGCTCTTTTCATCCATCTCAGGAAGTGCATGCGCTGCTGGGCTCTTTTGACCAGAGCTTCAGTGTGAGTGGACCAGGTCAAAGTGTCCGTTATGTGTACCCCAGGAACTTGGTTTTACTAACTATCTCCACTGCTGTGTCCTTGGTGAGGAGTGGTGTGTGGTTGGGTTGGGTCCTCCTGAAGTCGACGATGATCTCTTTGGTTTTCTCGACATTCAGGACCAGGTTGTTGGTTTCGCACCAGTCAACCAAATGGTTCACCTCCTCTCTGTAGTCCAGGTCGATGTCGTCCTGAATTAGGCCCACTACTGTCGTGTCATCTGCGAACTTCACGATGTGGTTGGTAGTGGACCTGGCACAGCAGTCGTGGGTCATCAGGGTGAACAGCAGCGGGCTCAGGACGCAGCCCTGAGGGGAGCCGGTGCTCAAAGAGATGACACTGGAGACGTTGTTGCCCACCCGCACAGACTGAGGTCTATTTGATAGGAAGTCCAGCAGCCAGTTACACAGGTGGGTGCTGAAGCCAAGGGGGGCCAGTTTGCTTATCAGATGTTGTGGGATGATTGTGTTAAACGCTGAGCTGAAGTCCAGAAACAGCCTGCGCACATGTGTATTTCTTCCTTCCAGATGTTCTAAGCTCAGGTGAAGTGCAGAGGAGATGGCGTCCTCTGTGGAGCGATTTGGGTGGTAAGCAAACTGGTACGAGTCTAATGTGGGAGGGAGTTTGGAGGTGATGTGGTCCTTTACCAGCCTCTCGAAACACTTCATCATGATGGGGGTGCTACAGGGCGGTAATCACTGAGGGAGGAGATTGTGGGTTTTTTGGGCACTGGTATGATTGTGGCAGTCTTTAGGCATGATGGTATGACAGCCTGTTTCAGTGAGGTGTTAAAGATGTCTGTGAGAATCCCAGCCAGCTGATCAGAACATTCCTTCAGCAACCATCCTGGTATGTTGTCGGGGCCCAATCCTATCAGCTAATCCTGACTGTGTTGATGTTACTGGGAATTCTGTTATTACAGAGCTGTTTCACTGTATTAGTTTATTAACATGGACTAGAATGATTTCAGCACAGTGAGTGATTCTCTAACAGTGCATTATGGGATATAGCATTTGATTATTTTATAACAGTGCTACAAATGTTTAAATATTTACTTCCTTTTACATTAAGAGGTAATTTTTTACAGTTTGTACCAAGTAGACACATTTAAAATAAAAACTGAATTCTAAATCTTAAACTTTGCACTTGTATTTTCTCTCTGTTATGAAAGAAGTCATGATAATTTCCAGACCTTTTATCATGGATTATGATGTTATCACCATATTGTATTAAGAAAAAAATATACGATTACATATGAACATTAACACAATTTTCTAAATATTAATAACTAGTTTGCATTTCATTTATTAAAACTCCTGATCCTGACCTTAATAAAGTACATGTATCTAACAGTATGTACAGTCGTAAGCTCCTGTTCAAAATGCATGTTTTGTTAAAAAATAAGTGAACATGCTCTCTTAAAAAAGAGTAAAAACAATGCTACTATGTAGAACCATGAACACTGAAAGAATCGTTTCATGATTAAATGGTTCTCTGTATGGTAAAATGGTTCTTCAGATTGATGGAGAATGTGCTGTATATGGCTCTATATAGAATCTTCTTGAAAATGGTTCTATATAGCACCAAAAAGGGTTCTTCTATCGTTAGAAGCTTGACATGGTAACAACAGCAGAACCATTTTTGATGCTAAAGGATTGTTCTGAATAAAAAAAAAAATGTTTTTTTCCTGTTGTGCTGGTCTGAGTGGATCAGAAACAGTAGAGCTGCTGAGGTTTTAAACACCTGAGTGTCACTGCTGGACTGAGAATAGTCCACCAACCAAAAATATCCAGCCACCATCGTCCTGTGGGCAGCGTCCTGTGACCACTGACGAAGGACTAGAGGATGACCAACACAAACTGTGCAGCAGCAGATGAGCTATCGTCTCTGACTTTACATCTACAAGGTGGACTGACAGGGTAGGAGTGTCTAATAGAGTGGACAGTGAGTGGACACAGTGTTTAAAAACTCCAGCAGCACTGCTGTGTCTGATCCACTCAGACCAGCGCAACACACACTAACACACCACCACCACGTCAGTGTTACTGCAGTGCTGGGAATGATCCACCACCCAAATAGTACCTGCTCTGTGAGGGTCCATGGGGGTCCTGACCACTGAAGAACAGGGTAAAAGGGGGCTAACAAAGTATCAGAGAAACAGATGGACTACAGTCTGTAACTGTAGAACTACAAAGTGCACCTATATAGTAAGTGGAGCTGATAAAATGGACAAGGAGGTGGTCATAATGTTATGCCTGATCAGTGTGGTAATTACTAAATATTTACACCCTGTCCTAAGCAGGTGTAGGTGTTGGAGAAACCAACAGAAACCATATAGAGAGCACAACATAAACCAAAAATGTGACTTTTATGGGTAACTTAGCTAAAAACACTAAATGCTATGCGCTGTGGTTTCAATCCTGCTCTAATCATCACCCTGGATTAAACTCCAAACATGAACACACAGCTCCAGCTCTGTGAGACGCTGCTGAAACGTTTGTACTGCTGCTGCTGTACCAGTTAGCTAGAAACCATCATTTAAAACAGCTGCATATTTGGTTATCTGAAGGAAATATTAAATAATAAACAGATAATGGCTATAAGTGTTCAGTTTTATTCAGTTCAACTTGAACACATTTTTCTTGTCTATACTGGATATTTTTATAAATAAAAATTTTATTTTCGGATTTGTGCCGCTTCAGTCTGGTAATGTGGAGGTAGCCTTAGGCCAATCATAGACAAATAAACACAGCCAGTGTACAGTAACTGTATAAACTGCATAGTAAAAAGTTGTTGATAGGATGTCAGCACATTAAGACATCTTCATTTAAACTTCATTTAATTTCTGTACCTATTTTGTATGAATTATGCTTTACTTCTACACATAGGAACATTTTTCCATGTGCTTACAGTAAGCAGTAAGAAAGAAAGGAAAATCTATGCACATAAGGAAAATGAGGAAACAGAGTCTTTAGGCTACAACTGTATTTACTCCAGCATTATTGTACCATTGTATTTACATATTAGCATTGTCAACAGATTTTTATAAAACAATATATGTATAGGTGCATGTTGTTTAATTATAAGTTCATTGTGATGTGTTTGATCTGCTCTATTTTCTCTGCTTGATATGGATCTCACTACTACTTTGATAAATACATTAATGTGTATGTAAATATTACTTCAATAGGCACCTCTTTTGCCTGTTACTATTGCTGCTTCCATCAGCTCCAGTAGGATGGTTATGTCCCTGTGTTGTCTAGAAGGAGCACCAATGCAAACACTAGGACAGTGCACTACTGCACACACTGACATAAACAAACGTAGGGAACACTTAGTGAGAGTCAGTGTTCATAAGAGAGGAAATGAAGGGCGGTGACAGGAACAGAAGGCCAGAGAACCCAGGAAAGAAAAATAATACAAAAGATAAGAGTCCTCAGAGAAATGAGGAAGCTGGTAGTAGATGAGGGGGATGGGTATTGAAAAAATAGAGACGTACAGAGAGGATAAGGGGTGATTTTCGTTTATGTAAAAGGCCCTTGTATACTTTTTGTGTTTGGATAGATTTTTGTTATTGTAAATAATTTTAAATATTTTTTTTGTTTATGGCTCTGTGTGCACAGACATAGTGATACTGTCCAGAATGAACCATTTATTTTTAATAGTGCAGTATTTTTACATTCATTTATTAAAATGACTGTAGTCATGAGACAGGGGTGCCCAATCTTTTCCACAAAGGGCCAGCGTGGCTGCAGGTTTTCACACCAACATAGCAGATCACCTGATCAAATATTTGAAGACTGAGATGAACTGATTCATTTTTAATGGATTAGTACTGAATAATTTGTTCCCGAGCTCCCCCACCACACAGCACTTCCTCTTTCACTGGCTCAGAGCCTCGACGTGCCATCTCCGCTATTAACTCTAACCCCTTCTGCCTCCTTTGCCATCCAGCTTGAATTTCCACTCTTGGGGACGTGGACAACAGCAACATTTTACTGGGGCACATGTCTCAGTAAACTGGGTCTAATGACCTAATAAGCTGGTGCTGACTGTAGGTGCATCTCAGTCGCCCTCATAGTTCCCTGCAAAGTGGACTGCACAGGGCATATGCACACTGTACGGGTGATTCCAGACCATGGGGAGTGAAAAAGTTCCATTGGAAAGGAACTACAAACTGCACAGGAAGTGAACACCAGTTTATCACTTCACAGCAAGCTGCAGGAAAGTTTCCCCATCAGTCACTGCAGATTTCTTGAAGAGGCATTTGATAATGACGCTGTAGGACGTTCTGAACGAAGGTATTTATCAACTACGGTTCCCTAAACTGCGCCCCATTAGCTTAAGTGCTTAGGGCTCGTGTTGAACATAATGCTTCCTGCTTTACACTCAGTTTCTTCATCCTCTGTTCCTGAACGTTCCGCATGCTGTCCAAAGTAAACACAGATACAAAGTCCGTCAACATAGTTTCATTTTGTGTCTTAAAAAAGCCCATGTTTAGAAGTGGAAAGACTGAAAGTATTCTCTGAGGCCCTGGCCTTCCCACCATGTGTGTTTCAGTAAGAGATAAAGACGATAGAAGGTTGAGTTAAATGAGCTCTTGTTGGGTTGTCAGTTATTGTTTAAAGGTGCTGAAAGGTTTCTGTGTGTAATGCCACTGAAGAACCTTTCAGTGGACGACTCTGTAGAGAAAGTTTTTGTAAGTGACATGTGTGAGTGTAAAGTTTAGTTTTAAACTGGAGCTATGAGACGAACATTGCCTACAAACACTAGAGGTCAATAGTCACCCAAATCTTGTCTGTAAATACATCTATAAAACTTCTCTCAAACGGCTCAAATCGCATCCAGCTCTTCATTAAGGTGGTAAAGACTTGTCGAAGCGAGATTTGGGTCTTTTTGGGACACAGCATAACTTACAGTGAGCTATAAATATTAACAAATCTTCACCATGTAGCTGAAAACTGGGGGCAGCTCTTTCTAATCTAATCTTGATTTTAACGTAATGTAAGTGTTTACTAAGTTTAGGTTTATGCACTACTAATTCAGCACAAGCCACCATTGTGTTTCCATGGCAGCACATTTACTGATTGGTTCTGAACATGTTAGCATCATGTTAAAGCGACGTACACATCAGTTAGTTAGTTTTTTTTTCCAAGAATGTGATGGTCCATATTTGTATATTTATGACAATAAATACAAGAAATTGTTAGAAAACAGCTCCCAGGACTCACACATGAATGGACAACTTGAATGGGGTCCAATTAAGACCCACAGCTCTAACCCAACTGGGGCCCATAACATTAACCCAACTGGGGCCACACACGTAACCAAACTGGGACTGACATCTGTAGCCTAACTGGGTGAAAATGTTACGCAGCTGAGGACCATGTCGCAACTGGGACTTATGGTTGTAACCCAGTTGGGGTCCACATACAGCCCTTCAAAAAGCCCACTAAAACCTATGCCCAGGTAAAACCCACATGGCCCAGTTAAAACTCAAATGGCACCCACATGGATGTGATAGCTTGGTTGTTGCCCATCTGATTATAGATTAAAGATTGCGCTTCAGGAAGACAAACAACCTACAGTCAGACTGCAGAGAGACAAATATGAGTATTATGTACACAAGACTTTATCCACAGCAGCAGACCAGCTGCACAAATCCTGTATAATCATCATATCAGTGTAGTTGTATAGTTTACTTCTTATTAGTGTTTCTCCTGCAATAACTCATCCTGCTCTGCCTGTTTTAACATCTATCTGCTCATACAGCAGCTCAAACCCTTCATGCAGGTTTAAAACAGCTCAACAACACTTAATATAAACAAAGATTCAAACTGAGTAAGTTTTGATTAATTTGTACAAAAACTCAGGATAGTATGTCAGAAATATAACTCATATGAATAATTACTCTTATACCTCCAAAAACAACTTTTTTTTTAAGAAATGCAGCATCAGATGTTGAAATTGTCTTCTGTATTCCTGGAGAGGGGAGGGTCTGACTGAGCATCACTCTAGCATGTCTCTGATCGCAGGAGTAAGACTTCAACTGTCCCCAATTTCCCCTACCCAGGAAAGGCATATGTGCACAATCTGAGAAAGCTAATTCTCCCTAAAGCTGACAGAGAAAGAGGGAAA